TATAGTCCTCTTTCAGCAACAAATTTTGTTAACAGATTTTCCATCTTTACATTAATGTCGTACGAATGTCGACCGAGGTTACGCTTACGCAGTACCGTAGAATTAATCCGTTGAGGGCTGTCTATTACCTCATTCTGAGGTATTCCCAGTATAAACACCACCATGATTGTGCGACCTTGTATTCCCATACAATAGAGGGGGTTGAATTGGTGAAGCGACAGTGCTAATGAACTCAGGGCGGGCAGCCTGTCTATCAAGTTGATAAGCCGCTGACTTTCGAACGCCTACGAAGAGTATCTGGTGCTTACTGCGAAAGGCTCAAGCGAACTGGCTAAGTTGTTCTGTGGAAAGGAGACAAATGCTCAAGCTCAAGGTTAATTCACGGGAGACGATATTTTTTTCGTCCTCAAACGCGAATCGTTGGCTCACCACTCCACACACCGATTTGAGATCAAATCAACTCCATTATGCCCCGCATGAACGCGATCACTGAAACAAATTCGATTCCATCCAGCGGCTCACAAAAGCATAACTTAAATCAATCAGTCGAAGTAAGGACAAATGTGTCCATAACAATTAGATTGACATCAATAATCGTTTTAGATTCAGCAGGACACGGAATCAGTGAGCGTTAGAGGTCTTATCTAAAACACAACCGATTATTTCGGAATGCCCATTTGGGCCAAACCCACCAAACAGGTAAGGTTTCGATCGGGAATATCGAGAGAAACCGGAAACAGCTGCAGCACTTTGCGGTACGACAGGTAAACATTACGGTGCGTATACCGTAGCTAAATCTTCCTTCACGTATGGATATTCTTCAGTGATCTCACACAACACAATCGCAGAGTGACTATCTTCTCATTTGCCAATGAACCCAGCGTGTTTCCTTGACAGCCAAGTCTCATGGTTTATGCGTTCGCTTTGTCGCGGCATACACCGTCACAACAAGCGTGCTTACCTGTTTCGACGTTGGAAACACGCTAAAGAAGCTGGTGACCCCATTGAAGAAGTAGTTTTTTTTTTTTGCTGAATTGGCATGTATGCCGCCTCCCTGTCCTCGAATGTCGCACCGTTCAATTTCAGACGCCTATCGTCGTAACCCCCCCCCCCCCCCTGCCAAATTACTCGAAGATATTGAGGGTTATATAGGGTACAAGTAAGCACAGTGGTGGATTCACTTGCTGAAGTCCAAGCAAGCAGGTATGACGCTGCAAACGAGAATGTTGGACCCATGGCTGTGCTCATCCGAGATGAAATAGTTGTTCCAGCGGATAAACTCTCGCAGAACGGTACCAGGCACTCTAAACGGGGTGTAGAAGGAAGGCAGCACCGACATTTGAGCCGCGCTGCGTACGGAAGTGGTTTATTCTAGACTTGTGCGTGGTCCTTTCGTTAGTTCCTCTTCGTTATCTGTATCATTATAGGCATTTTCTTGGTCCAAAACCTGTAGATACCGGGAAAGTGTTGTTTAGCGAATTAGTCCAACACACATGCATCTGGGGAGTTTGCAAACGCACCGCTGCCTTCGCTACGATCCATACTCTTTCGGCTTGAGACCGATGTTGCGTGCTGCGTTCGAGAATGATAGGCTGCGATTCAGCGGGAATTTGTGTTCGGAATGTAATTTACTTGCACTTCCTGAAATTATCACCGAAGTACTTCGACGTTTTCGGTCGAGTTGCTATCAAAACCATGTGATTACGATACGTTCCATATTATGCAAATCATCGTATGGGTTGTGCGACATTGATCCACCGTCAGCTTTCGTTTTACAACGTTCAACCGACACGAACGTCTAGGAAAACGCCAGATAACTAAAACTCACTCAAGGCATTATTCTAAGTAGTGTACGAATTTTAATTCACGTTAAAATTTGGAGATTTCCAATTAAATTAAACTAGTATTTTACCGCTACGAATTAAGTAGTTTGATTCAATTTCAGCTCAGTTCCGTATACGAACCATTACAGAATTTACCATAGGGGGGGGGGGGGGGGGTTGAGGTCGTTGGAGCTTAATCGCCGATGGCTAGTGACATACTGACTCAACAATCTTCTTATAGTTTTCTAAATTGATACTTTGCTAACAATTAAACTTCTTTGCAGCTGGAGGGAATAATTCAGCAGCTTTAACCCTTTCGTGGTCAATGGGGCATTTTGCCCCCTTTGGAGGGTGTATCCTCGAGTGCCACTCGTGTCACCCTCGAAAGGGGGCAAAATGCCCCCTTTGATGGCCTAACTACTTGATGTTCAATATTATAATATAGCCAGGTCATCAGTACCTGTTCACGAAAGGGTTAAAGCATATGCAGATAATTCCGAAAAATCGGAGCATAGATCTTCGCCAAAAAAAGGTTTTGAGTGCTCGTAATAGGGGGCGAAAGCTAAAGTGAGATTAGATTTATCTCCATACACTGCTCGCGAGTATTCTTGTCCTCACCTGTGCTCCCTGCACTCCCTGTGTTCCTCTCATCAACTTGCTTACCTCGAACGTGTAACGTAGAGGAAGCATGTGTTGCAGGATGCAAATTGGAAAGTGATATTAGTAAATTTAAAGTCTGCACTCTTTTGTGTCTAGACTGTCTACTAACCACTCGTTGCTACATGTAAATTAGTTTACGAACGTCCCGTAAACTAACCTGTAACTCGTCCCGTAAACCGTACCATAATCCTAAAGATTTAAATAATACAATCAACGCGGATGCGTTACAAAACGCCTCATTAACTTTCCTTCACCATGCTCGCCCCTCACAGTCCTCTCCTCTTCCTGCCGCCGTCGGATCTGCTTTACCATCGGTTGATGAGTCCTTTCTGGTAGCCTCCGAGCCTTTGCCATCATCCGTTGAGTCCTCGTGGTGGGCCCACGAGTACTCGTCATCGCTAGATCCGTCCACATGGGCAATCTGCGAGCACTCGTCGCCCACCATAACATAAAATCTCCGACCTCCGACTTTCTCCGACTGTCACAAAACAGGTACATACTTGTGTGTTAGTGATGTACTTGTGTATTAGTTGTGCAAGGTGCTTAGGGGATCAAATTTTGGGATATGCGAGGGCCAGAAGGCCGATTTGAAACGAGTTTGTAGCCGGATACTTAGGCTCTGAAACGGCCTGTGGGCTATGAAAACGGCAATTAACTGATTATGCATTATTTAAGCCCTGAGGCGTGTTCTCTCTACATAGCAAATAACGAAATGAGGCCCCGGACCAGAAATCGGGGTCCACTAATAGAAGCACTTTACTTTTTACAGCTATTTTTACGCGTAATTACCATTAGCAGTGATTGGCTCCCCAAATAGACGTGGGTAAAACCTTACAAACAAGATTATATTCAAACGGTTGGGTTGTGGAGTCGCACAAATAAACTAACCGCCATTCTTGATTTTTTTCTCGTAAGGGACAAGTCGCCCACCATGCATCTACTCCATCAATGGTTCGTCGTCCTGGGTATCTTCATGTTTGTATACTGTGTGAATGTGTGATGTGCGGCCACCTCTGCTGTCTATGCGTTGTCTGTTTGCTTGCGTTGAGGTTAACATTGCTGTTCCGTAAGGAGGTTAAGCTTTGTGTTCGACGTAGCACTCAAATACGTGTTCGGTTTGTAACGAGGTTAACTTTGCTGTTCCATTTGGAGGTTAAGCTTAGTGTTCAATACTACCAATGCATTTCTCCCTCGAACGATTATTAAGCACGTAATACACCCTGTATTTGCTCCTTATTCTTCACCTCATCTTTACTTCCGTGTCATTTAGCGTGTTGACTTCCACAGCTTCGTCTTCGATGAAGGCCTTGAACGTAAAGTGAGCGAGCGTACTGGGAGAACAAGAGGACTAAGAGTAAGCACTGGTTGGAGCGATACGCAGATAAAATGGTACGTAATTACGCTGTTTACAGTAATCCCAGTATGTTGGTGGTATGAGCTGTGGCAGCATCTGCAATTCGACCAGCTGCTTGAAGGTGCTTGTAGCGGGTGATGCGGTCATTGAGACGACCACTCTTGTGCAGCTTGCGCATGGCCTTCAGGACGTTTTGGGCACCGCGCGCAGTGATGCCCAAATAACGGAGGAATGCAAGCAGGTCGACTTCTGTAGCTACTTCAATCATGAGGACATCGTCCCGGTATCTTGGGGACTTCTCGTTGAGGATGAAGCCATCCGGAAGAAACAACTTCAAGAATGCTAGGCGGTTGACCACGTATACTTCGTTTCAGCGTCCCTCGAACTCCATATACGTGGTTCTTGGGCATACCAAGTGAACCAAACATCTTTGAGGTTCGTCGCTTTGGAGGTACACCGTCGCTTGTTGGGTGGGTGGCTGGTAATGGTGTCCTGACACACATTATTTGCAGTTGTTGTGTTTTGCTGCTTGTTGTAGAACTTAGCCTCCATGACGGAGAGCCGCATGTCGAGCTTCTGGTTAAACTGAAATAATTGCTCAATCAAAGATGCTTGGTGGAGATACATGGGGTGTTGACTGTAATCGTTTGGGGTGCTTTGTGGAGAGGCACTGCCTTGAAGGGCGTTTGTGCTTGTGTCACCAGCAAGGTATGATGACCATGATAGCAAGTCATTCTCGGAGAAGCCTTTGTCGCGTGTACACGCCTCAATGCGTTGGATTGCTGGACCATCCGCTGCTAGCTACTTCAGCTGAGGGTAGGGCTTCAGCAGGTAAGCCATGAGAGTGTCGAGTACTCGTTCGTTCACGTTGTACTGTGGCGTCTCCAGACCGGATGAAGAGATGAAGAGTGCAAACGCGACGTACCGAATCTTCGTCTGCGTACTGGAATCAAGCCACCCAAGAAAAAAAAATGCAAAACCGGTTTTTCAGAATCTCGGCTGCTTAAGACGCGTGCGACTTTTTGATCTTCCGAGGGGGTGTTGAACACACACGCGAAGGCTTTGTTCGTTGCTGTCATGTTCCATGCCCCACGGTCGAAAATCCACTGAACACACATCCCAGTCCCGTTGGTATGATGTGCACTGCCGCGCCTAAAAGAATGCGACGTCAAACGCTCAGCCACACCAGATCTTTTAGCGACTCGATCCAGGACGCGGTTGACGTAGGCGTGAATGCCAGGGATAGCGTCAGCTGACCTGTCGTCATGGGACGCACTGGGAGTAGCTTGCAACTGGTTGACGTTTTCAGGGTGGCCAAGCAGGTCGATGAGAGTCGTGGCTGGACTCAAGGAGGATTACGATACGGCCGTCAGCTCCGGAAGCTGGCTCAGCAGCGACGCGGTCGGTGAAGACTGGGAAATTAGAGCAAGCGCAATGGCAAGCAGTGGAAACGTTGCGAAACGTTATCAGGAAACAGCGAAAGACCTTGTTCTTCAGCCGTCTTGACCCGGATAAAGCGTACGAAGAAAATATCGCCAGAACCAACAGAGAAGTTTGTCTTGAGAAAGAGCGTAAGGTCGGATGCTCGCCCAAACAGATACCACAGTAATCACAACAGTGCAGCGTCCTGGTAGTCCGATGCAGTAACAGCAGTCGAATACAGGTAGAGGATCATTTGCTTGAGCGCATTCTTCGTACACACGGGAGCTTTATTAACAAATGCTCCAGACTCCCTCTTCATGCAATAGCGCTCAAGAACTTGTCCTTTCGTGAGCAGGGTCTTTTCGATAGAGGCCCAACGCTGAGGAAACTTCTCGAGCAACCAATTCTTCGCCTGCCGGTAGTACTGCATGACTGAGTGTCGTGCCAATAGCTGCCCTTTGCGCCCTTCCTTGAAAGCGAGATGCATTCCAAATATGTCGACATCAGCCGCTAAGACAAGCGCCACGTTGTCGCGCCTCATGCATGCTTCTAGGTACTCCCAGACGACGCCTTCATCTTCGAGAAACTTTCAAACCACCGCGCTGCTGACTCCCGCGCCGCTGACTCCCGAGCTCGCTTGGTGTTAACCGGTGCGAGGTCTTTCAAACTCATCTTGGGTCGTAGGTGTCGGGGCTTGAGTGTTATCCGTGAAATATGCGAATGGCTTATGATATGTAAGGGGGTATCCATAATTTCGGTGGTCTCTCAGACTTAATACGTCGGAGCTGTTGTTGTGTAGCCATCTTATACCATTGATGCCACCGATTGGCTTAAAATAATGCCTTTAAGTAATGTGATTCGCCAAAATGACAACTCACCTCAGAACTTTCATTCTATTGGCCAATAGTAACCATAGTTAAAAGAAGTATGGTCAGAGATTTGACTACAGTGGTGCACCTCGTTTTCGACACCGGTATGCCTCGATAACTTTCGTAATTTGATGATTATGCTCAGTGCATTGCACAAATCGTTTGCCCATCACCGTTGGCTGAATTAACCTCTATGGTTTTCCCCTCGTCGAGGAGGGATGACACGTCGCGCCGCAGCGACCTCACTTTACCAAACAGACGAGTAAATACTGAAGCTTAGTTATTTTTTTGCTGCATCAATCCCTTCGCCTATTCTACTCTAAGTCTCGCTGACAAGCAGACGATATGCTGCAAAGCTGCTGCTGAGCCATGGTGGACAGTAACAAAAGTTTCTACGTGGTCATCCACAAGCTTCCACCAAATACAACTGCTGCCTTGCAACCGATGGATCCAGGGATCATCAAGAGCCTCAAGGATTATTACCGGACAACAAAGCAAGAAGCGGAGCTGGACATAATAATGACCCGGGTCACCACCAAACGCTTTATTTATACAGCCATGAAGTGGTGCTCAGAAGGCTGGTCTGGTGTTTCGACGAAGACAATTAGAAACTGCTGGAGTCACAGCGGAATCGTGTCGAAGATGGATCTGCGATTTCTACTGAATTAACGTAATAAAAAACAGTTCATTTGGCCCATCTGCGTTCCTGCATAAATTTTCGCCGTTGGCAGACTCTATATGGTCCACCCTGTCGAAAACGAGGTGCACCACTGTATATTCATCCATATCAACACACCACGACTCCATTTATCGATCAATATAGATGCTATGGAATTACTGTAGTTGGGCGGAGATTGGACGCTTGTTGGCTGGCATACATTTTTCTCTCTCGAATATTCTCTAAACTAGTCCATGACGAGACTTTGATTCCACAACGCACTGATGACCGAGATATTCTCAAATACCGTCACTAGCTGAAAAACTTGGGTAGCTCTAAGTTTAGTTTTTACGTGTAAGGATCTGGTGTAAACAGATAGCTAGTACATGTCTCACGTCTCTGCGTATAAGGCTTCTACAGAACATGAACTTCCTTAGAGCAAAACAGAAAGCAGCTTTTCATCAATGTAAAAGTGGAAGCAGCAAAGTATGCTAGCGTAAAATAACATATGTTACGTATTGACAAGCGCAAAATTCTCGATTGCTCTTACCAAGAATTAGTTATTTTTAGCCGTAATTTTGCTACCCGTATAACCGATATTTGTAGCCAATTACACACTATCGTTAAAAGCGAGATTGGTAAAAAAAAAAAAAAAAAAAAAAAAAGTGACTACGTCACCTCAGCAACTACTTTACATAAGTACGATTCCAACAAGGTCCAACACGTTTTGCACGACGACGAGAACGTAAAAACAAGGATAATGAAGTCAACCCGAACGAATCAATCGTTAGCGGTGGTTCTCACTGTTAACAGCATATCTAATACCACGGCCCTGAAGACCTGACGTGAAAGTGCCTTATCTTCGCACTGACGAGAGAAGCGATCAACTCGTTCAGGGCGGATATTGTTATCCTCTTGATCACCAATTTCTTAGCGCTTCCCCTCCCTTTTAGCCTGTTCTTTTAAATGCTTTACCAGCTTCGACCAGTCGGTCTCCTGTACCTTTTCCTTCATCTTCTCCGCACCTTTCACGGGATTCAGCTTCTCCGCTACAGCCTTCATCTTATCCTTCATATTGCCGAGGACTCTCTCTTCTTCCGCCTCATCTTCGTCGATTTCAGCACGGCGCAGCAAGCGCGAGTGGATTGGAGCGAAAATGTCACCACTCGAAGCTCTGTTCTCAACCATAGCCTTAGCATCACTGATCGCATTACTACCGGTGAGGAGAGTTCCCGTAATCGACACTGCGAGGAAGGAAGTGAGGTGCATGCTTCTTGTCGGGTATCGGGCACTAGCGAGGATACTTGTGTTGTTTTGCGAAGGGATCAAATTGTGAAGTGACGAGTGGATTGCCGAATGAAATGCGCTGTGTACTCTTCCATGCGGGATGAAGAAAAAAAAAACACTGCCCAAAGCGATTAATCTATGGACGTCGATGACTGTCATGAACCCACACACGACAAATAGCCCGTCCAAGATTGAACACCTGTTTTATCGGATGCATTATAATGAGTAGCTCTGCTTGTGTATATACTTACTCCAAGTCATTACAGATCGTTGCAAAGCTTCTGTTCCCAATAGCCGGTGAGAAAAGAAAAATCTAGAAAGGGTTAGCACTACCTGCTAGTTTCTTGTCGAGAGAGACACCATCGTGCTTGCATGAATTTCCTTCATCACACCGTTGAATGGGTTTCCATACGTTCGTAATAATCCACCGTAACGCTACTGGGATCTACACAGTGACTCAGCTTGTCCACACCAGTGGCGAAGCAAGGAGTACTGACTGTGAGCCCATTGGAAAAAAGTTCGTCAAATAAAGATTACGAACTGACGAGATCCGATGCTCCGTTTATAGACATGAGCTCGTCGTAAGTGCGGTTCCGTCTAGGTAATCATTGTGTGTTGATCCACTAGGGATGGGGACGTAAACTGCTTTAACGTAAATTTTTGCTTGTTCCCGTTCCCGTCAAAAAGTTCCCGTTGGCGTTTTTCCTTACGTACATTCCCGTACAAATGACATTTAGTTGAGGAGGTTTATTTATTTATTTTCAAAAGTGCCGACCCAATCGCCATAGTTGGCGACGCCAACAGCAACAACTACAGCGGGCGCAGCTCCACGCGTAACTGAACGGGTTGGCCTCGAGTTTGCGCATGCACTGCCGTCTCACAGCGTCTCGCAACCGTCAATCTGTCCACAGCAAGCAGCTACACTTGGTGGAAGCAAGAAGAAGCCTGCCAACGATGGAGTGTGGGCCTATGCCGTGCGGACATCGTCAAGTTCACTGCCAACTTCGAGATCGAGCTGGTCCAGCAGCGTCTGGGAGCAGTACATGACCTCCACGTAGAACTACAGATGGAGAGCACCAAGTTCTACATTGCTATTTGGATTCAATCGTGACAGGAGGGTCTCTCTTGCGTCTTTGTGACCATGGCTAATCATCCGCGTCGCTGAACGTGGGTCTAAAAGTTACTGTAGATCAACCATGGCTTCCACTGGGCTTAATGAAAAAAAAAAAAACTTAAATGGAGATATCACCAAGCAGCCCATGGCTTGGTTGTTTTTTTTTTTTGGACTCTAAAGGACTCAAATGAATACTGAACTCGATCGCTGCGAACACTTCCAGTGTGAACCGCCCCATGATGTGATGCACATGGACTACGACGACTTCCTCTGCTGCCTTGGCCAATACTTGTTGGAAGCTAATGCACTTTTCTGGAAATTCTGGCCAATGGACATGATGTGCTACGTTCAACTCGTTAAAGCACAGACCCCTCCCCTCAATAACCACGATACAATGCCCACAGTTTGAGCCCGCACTCACTCCACGGACGTAGCACACACTTCACATTGCAAAGTCCACACTCGCTGCCCACACTACCAATCTGTATAGACCTTACCCACGACACTGCACTCCAGAATCGCTTCTCCACAACTCAATAGGACCCTGAACACCATGATTCACACTTAGTACTCGTCCACCTTCGCCCCGTAGCACTCGTACCTCGCGATTTCAGATCTTGTCAAAGTCTCAGTACTGTCAACTGAAACCTCTATTTCAGAATTAGTT